TTTTTTTTATTCTGAAGATGGGTTTTAAAAGAGTTTGTGTTACGTGACACATTGACGTTAGTGATGTTCGATTCGACATATTCACATATTAATAGGGTTATTTGCGATTTTCTAGAATTTATGTGTATAGTAGAACGTAGAAAAAATTCAATTCGACATTGAAAATAATTTTTATGCTTATAAAACAATGCAGAAAATGTCCAAATTGTCTTTGAAAAGTATTTAATCACATGTCGGTCCACACTTGATTTTTATCAGGTTACTAAAGTGTATGATGATCACCAGTAAACTTCCTATTTCCATATGTTTTAAAAAAGTGTAAACTGCTGGTTAATCAAATCAAATCTTGGATATAAGTTTGTGCATTTCTAGAACATGATTTTCACACTTGTTCATCAAGCTCCAGTCACAATGACAGAATCAAATTTAAGCTGAAATAGAATAGGAGTGCCTCACACATAGCCTAGATGCAAGGAATGATCATAAGTTCTATGATTTTTTAACTCTGGCAGCGTCGCAAGGGACCTCAGTATTGTTATCACCATTGTTTTGTGTAATTAGATCCAAGCTTTGTTGTTTTGATGCTTAATTGCTTTCGAGGTCGTTAATTTAGTTTTTTTTTTTTTCTGTAAGAGTATTGTTAGTCTTATTATTTTTCTGTAATTCCTTTTACAAGCTGAAACGTCTAATCGTTTCCCTTGAGAAATTTTCGTTAGGATGTGCGAATATAGAGACCGGTGCTGTAACGACGGCGACGTGGAGACTGGGTGCTCTCTCATGTCAAAATAATTTTTTGTCTTTAAACCGTTTGTTAACATTAATGCTGAAACTTTCTAAAATTGTATAAACTTGTTTATAATGCATAGACGATCAGTTAACAGTTCTATAGCTGTCTAACTTTTGCATCTGTGCTATAAAAACGCAGTGGCCAGCATGTTTTCGATTTACTTTATTGAAAACTATCTAGAACCTTGCAACATCTAACTAGAAAAACTTATTTTCTGGTGTAATGCTTGTAATACTAATGGGACGAAATTTTTATATGTATAACCAATGAATAACTAGATTTTAACAACATGGCATATTTGGGGCATTAACCACAAAATAATTTTACTGTTTATAAAATAACTAGTTTATAAACTGTCCACTCACTAGTAGGCATCAATATTGATTTCAAACAAATTGAAAAGATCTTTTTTTATATATATGTTTAGCGATTTCCTTTGCATATATCTTATCGTAAAATATATTTAATTGGTCCAATATGGACATTTTGGCAAGCTTGTTACAAGATTCTGATAATCCATAACAAGTATATTTAAAAGATAATTATCTTATCAGTAATAATGAGTCTCTTGAAATACAGTAATCAAAAGATGCTAATACCTCAGCTTCAGAACTTGCATAAACTATACAATTTTCGTAATAAAATTTCTGCCTTTACTTTAAATTGTTTTTCTTTCGAACATGTTGTCAAATGTTGGCGTTTGGTATGTCCCATACATTAGTTATTTAAAAATTGTATACTTCATACTTTCTTTATCTTATTTATAAAATAATATTTACAAAATAAAATTTTCTTTTTGTAGTTAACACCTATAGAAAAATATGCCATGAATTTCATTGAGGCAACAGAATCTGCTTGGTCTGCAGAACAGCTTGCGGCTGCGACAAGGGAAATTGAAGAACAGAAAAAGGAATGGGAGCAGAACCGTCTGGCGGCGATGCGAGAAGAAGAGGAACGTCGTGCCCGAGAGTTAGAAGAAGAAGGTGATATCATCACATATTCAAGAGACGACGCCACCAACCAGGTTAGCTCAAAAAACAAAAAAATCAATAGGTATAATAGAATTTTAAGTAATAAAAGGGTTAGGCTCAAAAAAGATGGCGACGAAGACGTTGAGAAAAAGTTAAAGAAGATTAGGACGCGTAGGCTGTCACAAAAAAGCAAAGATGCAGAGGTCGAAGAATCGGAAGTGTGTGAATCACAAGAAGAATCTCAAATTAACGGAGGGGATACGGATAGTATTTCTGATAGTGAATCAAATTCTTCAACAGAATCTAAAACTACTTTAAACCACGTTGATCCAAATTCACCTAGAACTAGGTCTAGGGGGACAGTAGCTATTAACCTTTGGACACTCGATGTCAGCCCGATTTTGCCTGGAGAAAAACCTATGAAAAAATCCGGTGAGAACCACAGAAAAAATAAAAGGGTTAGATCTATGTCTGAAAACGACAACGATATAGATAAGGACGGCAGAAAGCGATTAAGGCGGAAATACCCCAGCAGTTTAGAAACGTCAGAAGAAGAAAACAGTAACCAGTCAGGCGAAAAATCTACTACGAAACCTACCAAGGTAGCATCCAAAGCGAAAACTTGTAAAGTAATTTTAAGTAATATACTGAATGATAAACGTTTTAAAGTCAACTTGAACGAAGAAATCGAGATTTCGGTTAGCACACAAATTGATGAGACTTCCACCAGCTCGAACCAGAATCAGACCAAAGATTGTGAGTCTAGTCAACATGAAAGTAACAATTTCGATGAACGGAATGATTCCCTTGACAATACAGAAGTTACCTCATCTGAACATAGTAAATTAGCTGGCTGTACTGAAATCGACAATAACGAAAGTAATAAAGAAAGTAGTACACATGAAAATGAAGAATTAGACGAATCTATACTCGATGATAAATACGACGAAGATTTCGTTACAAACAAAAATGAAGACGTAGATGAAAAAATGCTCCTCGAAGAAGATATTCAGATAGACCAGGTAGAGCAGAAAGATGAAAAACTGAGTGATGACAATGTTTCAGATTTAGAGCATTTATCTAAAGAAAATGATGATGAAGAAAAAATGGAAGTAACCGAAAATCTTGATATGGAAGACATTGAGGAAAAAATAAATGATAATGACGAACACATCAATGAGAAAGAAAATGATATCAAAAAAGAAGAAAGTAATGATGAAGACATTAAAGAGAAAGGAGAAAAGAGAAAAGATATCAAGGAAGATGATAAAGACCATGAAGAAGGCATCAAAAAGAACGAAAAGGATAATGAGGAAAACATCAAAAAATCAGAAAATGATGAGGGGGTTATTAAAAAGGAAGAAAATCATGACGAAGAAGTAGAAGAGAAAACCTTAGAAAATTCTACTGATTCAGTTGATGAATTAGTAAATGAAATAAGTAAGGGTAAATCTATAAATAAACAAAATAGCGAAGGAAAGAACATGAACATGAAGAAGACATTGAAGAGAAAACATTAGATCATTCCAACGAATTGGTAGATGAAGTTGCAAATGACACAAGTGATATCGATGAACATATAAAAAAATCAGAAAATTACAAAATTTCACAAAAGGCAAGTGAAGAAATTCTATCCCACAATAATGGAGACCAAGAAGATGAAAATATGTCAACCCACGACAGGAAAGATGAACAATTATCTTCCATGATATGACAGACAAAGAGGTACCTGAACATAGGAAAGATGAAGAGTTCCATCTGAACATCGAAAATATGAAGAACTACACGTCCCACAATAGAAAAAATGAAGTACTATCACAAACTATAAAAGATGAAGAGGCACAGTCCCACAACAGGAAAGATGAAAAGTCAGATGAATCGGATACAATTCCAAATGTAGCAGATATAGAAAATAGACTCAACAACAAAGTTCCTCACGTCGATAACGGTCATACCGAAACGATCAGAATGTCTAAATTAGTAACGTCTAATAGAAATGCCAATTTCAGGTCTCCTGAACCGAGAAGAAACTTCAAAAAGTGTGGTAAAATTTCGAACAATCAGACTTTAGACAGTTGGGTTAAACGGTCGCCTGTTTCACCTGTCGAAGCTTCTAAAGTAAACGATAACTCAAAATATAAGAATGTTGGTTCGCCCGAGTTATAGGGAGATTCAACTGTGGAAAGAGGCGGAATTTAAAACTTGTGTACTAGTTCAATGTAATTGTTTGATTATTTGGTATAATTATTGATCAATGTACGGTGCAATAAGGTAATAACTCAAAAATAATCTATTTCATTACAGTATTCAATGATTATTTTTTCTACATTGTGTCTCAATATGTTTTTTTCTAAATAGTTTAATTAATTAATCTTTTTATACGTCAGTCTCTGTTTGCCACAATACTGGACTAATATATTCAAACTTCTACACCTACACGTCTTACATTTTCTATATCCGTTTCTTTCAATTATATTTATAAAATTGATGAAGACTATATCTTCCTAGTGGACGGGGAAACTGATCAGTTTCCCCAGAAGAATGTGATAATTTTTTATCACACGGAAATTTCAAATTTCATATTTCCAAGTATTGTTGCCGTAATTAAAGTGTGCATTTTTTCTTTACAACCGCCGTTTGTTAACCATGTATTGAACAAATATGGTTTTCTTTGACCAGACAAACGATTTTTTATCTTTATCATGTGTACTTGAAGTAATATTTTTAATTTATTACCAAATTGCAGTCTGTTCATTTGTAGATAAATTATTGTTCGGAATTGTCCATTGTATATATTGTGTTAAACCATTTTTGAAATTTCCCCTCGTTCTTCCAGTGATTTGTTAATAAAATTGTAAATTTGGACTATATACGCTAATGTAAAATGTGAATAATGTGATTTAGAATTATGTGTACATATAATTTTAGGATTAATAGTTTTTTTACGGAACAATTTTTATTAAAAACGAGCATAATTGTAAATTATAGTGTGAATGTGTACATGTTGTTATGTTCAAAGAATACGGACATTTTAAAAAATGAAAAACAATTATTTTTTATATTTTTCGGTAACTACTGTTGGATAACTATTTATTCATGTTTGCTGTTTATTTCCACCACAATTTGTCGCTTTACGTTTATACCTATTTTTCTGGCTGATTGAAAGTTAACGAAAAAAAAAAGAACTTTGTGTTGCAGTTTGACAAACAGTCTGTGCGTCAGGGAAAAGGTTCAACCAAATATGTAATATTAGTCAATATGTATCTTTTTATATATTACTTAGTTTGTATAGTGTTAATAACTTTTTTCTGCCGTCGGACTTTATGAGACACGCGTGCGAAAAAAAAAAAAATTGATTGCTATTCGAAAAATTATGTACATTATATAAATTATACAAATTACATAATTACATAATATATTAAAATTTTAAAAAAATATTGTGTTGAATTGGCATGAACATTCAGTAAATTCTTGATATCTCTGGGGAGAATTGGCACATTCTTTAATGACTAAGATCAATTAAAGTTTTTCATATGTTGTTCATAGATATCATCATTATCAACCTGTATGCGTCCACTGCTGGACATGGGTAACTTTTCGCTGTTCCAATTTCTTGTTTTTTTGTGCGACTTACATCCAGATACTGCTAATACTTTGTTTGGTGCCTTCTGCTTTGCAGTATTTCTTGTGTCAATCCGTTGTCAGGAGTGTTTATTGTTTCCCGCTCCATAAATGAGTGCATGTAACACACGCTGGTCAAAGATTTTCTTTTTGAGGCATGGGTAGTTCTAATTAGCAATATTACGATATAACACTGATTAGACATGTTTGCGTCTTGCTCGTAGAGAAGTCACTCTATTGTCACATGTATTATGTCATGCTTTCTTTGATGAATTCTATTGTAAAATCTGTAGTCCTTTTTGTTCATTTTCGATTTGTTTCATCCACAACATTTAGAGATTTTACGATCTGCTTATCTTTTGATTTCTTCCATCAAAAATCTGTTAGTAATCCCTCAAAAAGGGTTGACTAAAACTTTTTTTAAGCATAAAAACTAGAGTATCTTGTCCATCGAAAATCTGGAATAATTTTTGCCAATAGAAACTGTTATTTCATGGTAAATAACACAGATAATACCATTGAAAGGTATTCCTCATCATCAGTTGGCGCTACAGCCCTTCGTGAGCCCTGGCCTGCCTCAAAACATTCTTCCATCCTTCCCTGTCGAGTGTCTGCCTTACTCCAATCTCCCTTAAATCATCCAAATAGCTGAGTTTAGTTCGCTCCCTTTCTCTTCCAACGACCGGCCTATTTAGTACCGTTATTTTAGAAGGATCTTGGACTTAGTTGAGGACCTTGGCCAAAATAACAGCAGTTAGCCACGCATATTTATTCTTTTTCTTATTTCTTTGGATGTATTGTTTTTGCAGTCAACCAGTGACCCCCCAAGTAGCAGAACTCTGTCACCATTTCTATAGTTGCATCTCTAAGTTATTGTGTTGCATTCTTGATATAGCCGGCATATATTTAGTTTTCTGTGAGTTAATCAGAAGTCTCATGTTTTCTGCGCCGTTTTAATACGTGTGAAAGCTTCAACTACTTTATTTCGAGTTCTTCCAATGATCACGATATTATCAGCATATGCCATTATTTGTATATACTACGTTTATATATCGTACCCGTTAAGTTTATTCCCGAATCTCTCATAACTTTTTCTAACGCTAGATTGAACAGCATGCATGATAGCGCAGTTCTCTGTTAGGTAAATGGTTCTGAAAGATCCACTTATACCCCAATCATATTGGTATTCCAAATTCGAGCATTGCTGAATATAGAATAGTATTAGCAACAGATAATATCATAAGAACACAGTCGTAGTGGAGGAAGACCACAAAAATGGTGGCTAGATGACATCAAAGCAAAAGTTGGAAGGAACTGACATCAAATATCACAAAACAGAAGAGTTGAGAAGGTATGGGGAGGCCTTTGTCAGGAGTGGATGCAAACAGGCGAAGAATATTATTTTCCTCGAGAATATTAACTAACAGCAAAATTCTTACATTGGATAAGAAGCCTCGTGTTGTATTATGCCTCTCATTGATGTAGGCTAATGCTGTGTCATTTGTAATAAGTTTACGAGATAACTCACTTAATGTTTAAGATATTAAAAAACGGATAATTTCGTAATTTAAATGCTTCTCTGTGTGTGCCGTTTTCCATGACGCACTGTGCAACAGAAATATTTAAGATTTTAACATTCTATTTAATTAATAATTTCTATGATTTATGTCGACAGTTTAAACAATTAATGAAAACGCAACTCGTTCGATACATTTGTTGTACTTAAAATAGTCAGAAAAATAGTACTCACGTTGTAATTTCCTTGTAGAATTGTACACCAAAAACTGATAGGAGTAACGAATTATTATATTTAATTTAGAACTAACTGATACATAAATTTTATGAACAAATGCGATTAAAAAAACCCATTATTAAATTGTTAATTTATAGCGGTTTGTGAATAATATGAATACGAATAGTTTATATCTAAATTCTATTACTGGATTTTTAAGAGTTTCATCATTTATTTCGGTAAAACTTTTTTTTATGATAAAAGCTCCTCAATTTCTGAAATTACAGTTATTTCCCTAGTGTACACTGTTTAAATAAGATTTAATTTGTATTACTGACTATGGCTTGGAAATGATGTTTTATATTAAATTTACACATTCTTAAAATTTAGTACAATATAAATTCTTAACATTAGGGGAAAACTGTAAAATTAGCAATATCGCAACTCTCATTTTATAATTTTGGGAAGATTGAGTTCATATTAAGAAATATTTTTATATTTTGTGCAAAGACAAATGTGAAGTGTACAATTCTACTTTTATTGGAATTTTAAACAAGCTTTATTTTATGAAAAACTTTGCATTACATTAAAGATAGTGATGAATCATCGTGAAAGGGAACACGGATTAAAGTGAACTATTTTTTTTTTCAAAAAAATCAGTATTATAGCCTTTACGGCAGGATGGTGCTAAGATGATATTTTATTGAACAATTAATGTATCTTATCTTATAAGTAGGTTCCATTAATTATTGATACTAATTGTGGTATCCCGTTTTTAAGTATACTTAACCCTCTATCGTTTTATATCATCTGACATTATCATAGACATAATACTAATAGACTTACTGTTGCAGTACAGCCCCGTTCCTCCAGTGTGACAGAGAAACTGATGCAAAGCTGTCTTTGGATATCTTTCTGATGGACCCAGTTTATCGACCACGTAGCCTTCTCATTTGTCATTTAGGTCACGTGGTTGATAAACCTGTCCCATTAGAAAGAGACGCAGGGACTGTTTTGCGTCACTCTTTTCTGTCGCACTGGGGGAACGAGCCTGTATTGCAACAGTCAGTCTATTTGTATTTATGTCTATGGACATTATATCTTAGTTTATCGGTAAGGTTGGAATCTGCAATTACCGAAACAGCTGTTCAGCTCTTGTTCATCACCCAGGATAGGTGTTTAATAACGTTTAACATTGTCGGTAATGCAAATCCCGAGCTTATCAATATCTATCACAGGGTGGTTCCAATGTCACGCGATATCTGGCCCAATTACCTATACAGTTACTTAACCATTTCCAGATACATACTCATACACTGATCGAAAATGTAATGAAATTTTTTTCAAACCGTTCACAGAGTCACGTAAATATTAATATGTACATAATTAATACGTACGAAAAACTGAAATGAAAAAAAAACTTGAAAATAAAGAAGTTCTCTTGCGAATGTTGTTGTTTAATTTAACGGCGGGGTGGACGTGGGTTTTGGTGCCTTCTTTGCTCTTAGTCCGCGTGGGGCACCAAAACACTGCCCCGCTGGACATGAGCAAGGGGGCTTCTTTACAACCCTCGTAACCACCCCACGGTCACCTAAAAAATCCTTCTTATTAAAATGCAATAAAAAAATGTTAAATAGAATTATTTGATTCGAAGCCACAACTGATTGTGGCTTCACTCAAACTAATATTTGACGTTTCGATTTTCACCCCGGAAATCGTTTTGAAAAATGAATATTTAAGAATTTTGTAAAAAAAAGAGTGTAACCACAGTTTGATGCTTAACAGAAAAGATTATTTTAAGCTTTCTTCAACGATAGTTACATGTCAGAAAAAAAATCGTGATTGTGTTTTATCATTGCCAGAAATTCTCCAATTCAAACGCAACATCTCGGTTTTTCTTCCTCTGTAATTAGTTCCCAACAGTGTGCAAACTCCGTTAGAGTTTGCACACTCATGGTGAGTCATATCTGATACAAAATATTTGCTTGAACGTAAATCTGTTTCACTTGAAAATATCTGTTAAACCTTGTACTCGTCTTGTAAACTTTTATATAAATGAAAAAACTCACCTAACATCTAAACTCACTGAACATTTATTTCTTGACATATTTATATTTTGTCTTCAATATTTTCTTGTCAATGCCTCGTTTTATGAAAGAATTCTCTAAGATAGCATTTAGTATTCACACAAATCCACAGTCTTTGGACTCACTTCTATACGTATCACAACGATTTTTTCGCTTCTGTCTTGTATGTGTATGTAACCTAATTGTTTTGCTCAACATTTTGCGGGTATAAATTGGATAACAGTTGTCAAAATGGCAATTCATCCGAGCGCAGCTAGATTAAATTAAAAGCAATGTTTTAAGAATTGCGAGTTGTTTTCTTTTATGAGTACGTCTAGTAATCAAAAGCAAATTCAAAAATAACCTAGGCTTATTTAAGACGGTAATAAACAGGATTTCCAAAGGTGACTGTGGGATAAATTTTTCCCACTTACTAAATGTTGCAAATATTCCAGATATGGGTATCAGATAACACTATGGAGCAAATGCCAGTAAGTACAAACATTTATAATTATAAACAAGATTTAATGACCTTGACCATGCAACGAACAACCGAGGGAAATAATTGAATTATGTAGTGCAATTTTAGCGTTAGCCGCAGTGTATATTATGTAATTTCTTGTTCATTGTTTGCATACGATGCACCTTTGATTCCCTGTACAAGTTCGTTAAGCAGTTGTTAGACTTTGCATCAACAAATCAAACAAGTTTATTAAGCATTTGTCCGTCCATGTTTATCTCTTTCTTATACCAGTTTTTATGTAAGTCTTTTAGATGCATATTCTAGAAGTGTGAATAGCTTTGCTCACATTGTGTCCCAATATCAGACCCTTCTCTAATACATCGGTTTTTTGTGGAATTACCATGGAATTTCACCCTTGCTGATAATTTTCTATGTGTTGTAATTTAGCTGTGTGTCCCTATACTCGACACGATATTAGGATAGAGCTGTTCGGAAAGCCTATTCCGTTAGGGACTATTATGTAAGGTTTATTGAAAAGCAGTTCATTTATTCTATAGTTTCCTGTATTAAGAGTTTCAGTGTAAGGTGATTGATTGTTAGTCTCGACACATGATCGAACGCTGTCTTGCTCTATTAGTTAAGATTTCTTCTGTAGTCGATAAGTGATTATTTTGGTAAAGAGTTTATATAAATTGAAAGGGGTCTTCTAAATTTACAATTTTCTACGCTTTCTTACGCTTCTATAGGTCTAATATCTCCATTGTATATAAAGAATTTACAAATTTCAGCAAGGGCTTTACTACGGCTTTAATGAATTGAGACGCCGAATATATAAAAATAAACGGCGAAAGGAACACAATTCAAACACGGAAAGCGAGCGAATGTAATTTTCCACTATTTTAGTGTAAGCTGAAAAAGCGCTCCTATTTTGATAGCTTTAAACGAAAACGACTGTCCTTTTCTGTCTTTTTGAGTATAAAATATTTACAAATTTCAGCAAGAGTTTTGCTACAGCTTTAACGAATTTAGAAAAAGCATATTTGTTTTTATTAAATATTTAATCATTAAGGTTTGTATACTATTTTAACCGACATGAACATTATTATTGCATTATAAAGACTCGAAGTGATACATGAATTTATAATCATATTTCACAGTATTTGTAAAGGTATGTATCACTTCAAGAAGTATCGGTAGAACATGTTTCAAAAAATTTAAGTAGGTTTCTCCATTCAATCTTCTAGGAAGTTTGAACGATCCAATCAGATGATACCAATAATCCCAGCCCATAAGTGTATACTAAATTTTTTTGAAAATTTTTCGTATATAGCAAACGGTTTTTCCTTATCATCTTCATCTGCACACAACACTTTGCAAGGAAATGTTTTCATTTCAATACAGGATTCCAGCATTTTTAACTCATCAACTGTCTTTTATCAAAATAATCAGTTAAAACCACTAAACCTTTTTTTGGAGCCGGTAAACAACAACAAACAATGATGATTTTAGATGTCCCAAAAATAAAAAGCATATTTCACAGTATTTTAAAGGTATGTCTTTACGAAGTATCGGTAGAACCTGTTTCAAAAAATTTACTACTGTTGCAATTACACCGCATCTTTTCGCTTCTTTTTATATAAACTCTGTTTTTCAATGTGCCTCCAGTAAGTTGTCGTTCTTGTCGTTCCATCATTTTCGTGGTCCTTCTACTGATCGTCTTCCTATTGGGGAACTGTCTCTTGCCGTCTTTACTACTCTATTTGTTGTCATTCGGCTTATATGATGGTTCAATTCTACCCCAATTTCTTACCCAGTTCTTGATGTTCTCCACCTTGCATCTACATCATATATACTTCTAGCTCTCTCCCATAGTGTCTTGCCATCAAGTGTTTTCATCTCTGCTGTTTCTAACATCCTTTTTGTGCTGTCGTGTCAGGTCTTGTTTCTGCCGCGAATGCCATTATTGGTCTGATGACTGTTTTGTAAATTCTGCCTTTCGTTTCTTTTTTGATATTTTTATTTCTCCATATTATTTCATTCAGGCAGCCTGCGGCTCTGTTTGCTCTATTCACTTGATCTTCCACTTCCGTTTCGAGCTTTCCGTAGCTAGATACTATGATGCCTAGATATTTAAACTTGCATCACTTGTTCTACTATTTGACCTTCCAGCTCCAATTTACATATTAGTAAATTTTCTGGCGGTTATATTAAATTTTGTGAGAGAGTAGTATTGCGTCGTCTGCATACACCACAATTAAAATATTTAAATTTCGTAGCAAGTTGATTTAGTACTAAATTTGATTTTTTTCATTGATATTATGTACTATTTCATTAGAAAACGACATTTTTGTGTAGGTGTTACGGGTTAGCCCAGTAGGGTTAGTCCAGTTGTGGTTCTAATGTTTGATAAATTGTGCCCAATAGTCTCTTTTCATGCATATTATCTTAGAATTGATGTTGTTTCTTGTATCCTTGTGGTGATGGTTATATAAGAAACATCATCAAAAGTATTAAGTGAATTTACAGCCTCAACGGTTTCTACGATTTGCTGTTCTGATTTAGAATCATTTTCTCTCAAATACTTCTTGCTTCTCGTCTTCATTTTCGTCAAAGTGGCCAACACCTAGGCAATCGAAATATGGTTTTAAAACTTATTTTCTTTAAGCATTTCCATGTTATCTACTATTACTATATTTAATGCGAATAAACCACAATTTTAATTAAAAATGTTATATTTTACGTTTCGATTTATACCTCAACAATAATTCTTTTATATTAGTGCAGTATACCAGGGTTTTGAACTCCGATTTCCATCAAGACGCATCTATTTTGAACATTTCCAATATAAAAGGACAAATTTCTTTGTCCCACGTATTGCTTCAGTCATGCTCAAGCTATTTGAACGTGATTCGAATCTGGATGGTAGGGAGATAATCGTAAGATACTGACCATATTGAGTTAACATTGCATCTATCTCAAACGTTTTAAATTTTGGCTTATGGAGTTTAATATTGTTGTACAAATTAAGTTTTAACATATTCGTGTCAAAATAAATATTCTTAGACCTTAACCATTGCATCATAACTGTTTTTCTACTGTTAGAATTCGGTGCTTTGTCTTTTTGAACATTGTGATAAGGCGCACTGTTAACAACCACGAACAACTTTGGAGTTAGGTTAGATATTAATACTTCTTCCAACCATTTTTTGTAATTCGTAAAATGCATTTGTGGAGCCTTCGGTATTGGAATTTGGTTTAAAAATCAAAAGTGACGAATATCATGTCTTTCTATTAATATTTTTCTGTTCGTTTTCGTCTTTCTCCAGCGGAATCACATCGATTTTATTTCTTTTCGAGGAGAATCTTCGCTTCGTATATATCCCGTTTCTTTAAATTATCTTAAAATATTCGGTACTGTAGGCACAATTTTGTCAGTGGTATAAGTATTAAGTATTTAAAATAATTCTACGTAGCAAACTATCTGCTTTGTCTACATCGGTTTTGACTTTATCCTATTTTTCGTTTTAGTTGATGATTTAAAAGAAGAAATTACAATATCCCTTTACTCCATAACAATTCGACGAATACTTTTTTCTAAAACTTCTGTTGCAGCGATAACTTTTCGTACAACTGATCTAATGAAACATTCAGTAGCCCAGATGTTTTTTCTTCCTCCATATCTTTAAACACATTAAAAAAAACTTCACATGTTTCACCATTTAAAATAATATGTTTATACACTTTTCACTAACTCAATACGGACCTGAATTTCGATGTTTACCGCTAGGATATTATAAGCAAACTGATAAAAAGTTTCAAAATACAGTAATAATTTACCGCACATCTTGAGGAAGGGGTTTTTCACCGACCATGGTTCTTTCCGGCAGCCGTAGAACTCTAGTATATGAACTAAGAGATTTATGATAAAAATAAGGTCGATTGCTATTTTTTCGTGACAAAAAAACTATATCTACCCTAATAATTAAACGTTATCTAATTCAAATTCACTTTATTTGAGCATCAGTAATAGGGTCCATAAATTTGAAATATTTGAATTAATCATTTTGATTATTTTAAATTTTTAAAAAGACCATATTCTTTTCAAGTTCAAAACTACCGAAGGTATGTAAAATTTACTTCTTCTCCTTTTCAAATTTTGCTTTGCATAATAAGCTGCAATGATGAGTATCTTTGTCCTCTCATAAACTGGCCTAAGTTTTCTTCTTTTTATAGTCAATATTATTTAATTAAGAAAAGAAGAAGAAAATTAAGTACGCGCATCTCCTTCGAGCAGACGTACCGCCATGTTTTAGAGGGAACCAGTGTTGTTTATGTGGTGTACATAGGAAAATTAATCCGGTTTAATTGAGTTACGGCAATTATAGACATACTATACAATTATATTAACATTGTTAAATATAGTAACATAAATATAAACGATTACATAACCTCACAAATCATATATGTCTGTGTTTCCTTCTAAAACATGGCGCGCGTGCTGAAAAACTTCAAAGGCGGCATCTGAGAGTGGACATTCTGATTGTTTATTATTCTGTGCCATGATATTCGTAGGATTCTTCTGTAATACCAAAATTCAAAGGCGGCTAACTTATTTAGATGCACTTGTTTTAATTTCCATGCTTCGTCATAAAGGAGAGTAGTGAAAATGTAACACCAGCATTCTTAAGCGTAGTCCTAACCTTATTCCGACAACAAAGAAACTTTTTAAGTTTAACAAATTATGCACATGCCATTTCAATACGTGTCTTAATTTCTTTGGTTTGGTCTACATTTAATACTACATAAAATTTACTATATACCAGTATTTACTGTAAAAAACTTTTATTTAATAAAAAATTTTACATATCTTCGATAGTTTTGTATTTGTTAAAAAAAAAGATGGTATTTTTTGCCGAAAACACGTTTTCGCTATAACTATAATTATTTATTTTAAATTGTTTAAAGTTTTGGATCCCATTAATGATACTTAAATAAAGTGAATTTGAAATGGATAACGTTAAAGTATTGTTGTTTTTTTCTCAAGAAAAAAAGAATGTGTGGACCTTAAGTTCACACCAAGTGTGGACCTCATCCAATAATTAGCAACAAAACAGGAACTAACCTAATTTCAAAAAATAAATAAAAAAATAAAAATATTTAATGAAGAAAAAACTAAAAATAATCTAATATCAATAAAATTAAAACAAATAAAAATAAATTATAATAATTATTATATTTATATAATTTTCCCCTAGCTAAAATTATTAAACCACAAATTCAAAAACTAAGTAAAATTAAACTATAAGATCATATGTCAATACCTAAAATATATGATAATTAAAAATAATTTAAATTTCCATGATACATAAAAATAAAAAATATCACTGAATTCATCAAAAATTTCAAAATCAAAAGTTCTCCAGTCTGGTTACAATGCTTTTAATTACTTTTAAAAATATATTACGAATGTTTCCAGTAAAATTGACCGTTTTCCTGTTAAAGGATAAGTTTTTAAAATCATTAAATACGTAATTGTCACCTGGAATGAGTTATAACTCAGTTTGTATTATGCTTGAAAATGTTACTATGGAAAACATCAAAACGAAATGTTCAATCACGAGTAAGTCTGAAACCGTGGTACACCGGACTATATAACGTATTTTCATTTATACTTTTTAAACTATAGGAGATATCATGGGTTTATTTCCGTTGGCATTATTGGTTTGAGGTGGGATCGATCCTTGCTGGTCAGGTCTTTAGACAGACTAATATTAGTTCTTTAATCTTTTCAATGTTGGAACTCTGAAGGGGACTTATGTTCTTGGCCGGGTGTTGTATCCAGAACAGTCTGCACGCTGCATCTATTGAGACTCTACTGAGACTAGAATGATTATACTATAGTTGTTATTGAGGTAAAAAGTTATAATAGACTGCGTCCCAAACTAGTCTCGAAGCTATATTTATAATCTCACTAAAATGCTACCATTCATCAAACAAGTGTATTGTTCTCTGAATAGAATTCTCTTCTTCATGTGCCGAGCTCGATTATCGAGCGTTGGCTATCAAATTGGTTATAGTAATTTTGTTGACGGCAGCTCGGAAAAGAGATGCAGAGGATCTGTTAAACCAATCTCTCAGGTTTCTAAGACCTGACGTTCTTCTTCGACCTGGCCCTCTTCTTCCGTCTACCTTGCCTTGTATTATTAAATGGAGTGTATTATATCTCTCTGGGTGGCGCATGATATGGCCAAAATATTCAAGTTTGCTATTTTTAACTGTTTTGACGACTTCCGTAACTTTTCCCATCCGATGCAAAACAACCTCGTTACGAACTCTGTCCAGTCAACTTATTCGTAGGATTCTCCGATACACCCAGATTTCAAAGGCTTCCAGCTTCTTGAGAAGTGTATCTGTCAAAGTCCAACCTTCAAAACCATACAAAAGAGTAGAGAACACATAACATCTCACTAATCTAATTTTCAGACTTAAAGTAATATTGTTTCCACATAACAGTTTCTTCATCTTAAAGAATGCAGCTCTGGCCTTCTCTATCCGTATTCTAATTTGTTTGCTCATGTCCCAGTTCTTACTTAGATTACAACCAATGTAAGTGATACTGTTAGTTCTCTCCAGTTGTTCACCATAAGCTGTTACCACTTCCGGTTGTATCGGCTTTTTACTGACGACCATCACCTTTGTCTTTGCGGTATTTAGCTTAAGGCCATATTCATCACACGTTGTGGTAATCCTATTAATTAGATGTTGAAGTTCTTCGTAATTGCTTGAAATTAACACTGTGTCATCCGCATCTCAAATTATTAATATTGACGCCATTCATTTTTATACCACATTGAACATTATCCACTGCTTTATTGAAAACGAACTCAGAATAGTTGTTAAATAGTAGCGGGGACAAAATGCAGTCCTGCCTTACTCCTCTTCGTATTTGAAGCTCTTCAGAAGTGTCCCGGCCAATCCTGATGTTTGCAAGTTGATGCCAATAAAGATTTTTAATAATGCGTAGGTCTTTATCATCAATACCTACCTGCTGAAGAATGGCTATCTTTTCAGTATGTTTTACTCGATCAAAGGCAAAAGTAAATAAAACATATAAACGGGATGTCCGACATCTCTGTACCATAACCTGAATACTAAATAGTGCTTCTCTTGTTCCAAGGTTATTACGGAATCCAAACTGTTTGTCACCAAGTGGTTCTATTTTTTGGTACATCCTAGCTGCAAAATTTGTAGAAATATCTTTAAAACATCACTCATCAAGCTGATGGTTCGGTAGTATTTTGGATAGTTTTTTATCGTCACAAAAGTCGACAGCCGCCAATCCGTTGGTATACAGCCAGTTTCATAAATTTTATTAAACAGATGAAGGAGATATATTTTACCTGAACTTTCGAAGAGCTTTATTATTTCACTAGGTATTTCATCTGGTCCCTTCGCTTTTCGGGTCTTTGCTAATCGTATTGCTTGTTCAATTTCGTCCATAGTTATGTCAGTTCCTGTAACGACTTCGTTAATTTCAAGCTCGGGCCTTTCATCACTAAACAAAAGAACAAAACTGCATAGAACAAAAACCTTTATATTCTATAGTTTGCAGGAAGTTGAACAAACTGCAATTAAGCTACTAATGATATGTTTCACATTTTAACACAATGAAACTATAAAAATTCAGAAATTAAGATTAATGTGAGACTACAAATTAACGGACTAATTTGTGATTGAACAACCATGGCACATATTAAAAAACCTTTGGCCACATTAAAGCTTTTATTTTGTTTTGTTGTTTGTTGTATGTGTCCTTTATTTTAATGTTTTGTCTTATGGCATTCTTCAAAAATTAAAATTTGAATAATTTACTAGATGTGGTGTCCTCCAACACCGCCGCAACAAGAAAATGACGTGTATATAGACGAAACTATGGCATTCCTCTATGATACCAACACTATGGCTGAATCCCAATTACCACCGATTTACATTAAGCGAGAAGCAAAAAGGAATCGCATAGAAGCAGGTTTCAGCGAAAGCAGAAGAGCATTGAAAATACCCAGAAAAGAAGAAGCTACGAATGCTCCGAAATCTTTGTTCCACTCGCCAAATATATTGAAAATGAAACGCGAACTGAAGCTGCAGAAATATCGAGGACTGGTGAGACCGTCCGTGCCGATACCGGGAAAACCTAATATTACAAAGCCGCCCACGGAACAGCCTTTGTTTCATGAATGGACGATTCACGAAGATATGGCTATTTTGAAGGTTATTCAAAGTTTCCAAGGTCTTCCACTGAATTTAATTGTTTCAAATTTAGGTAAGTCACATTATATTTTTATAGAACTAGGTTACAATGAATATTTAAGAAGATATAAGTTTTTTATGTGTATGAGATTAGATGGTAAGCCCATTTTAGCATGCTATCAAAATATTGATGTAATTGATAAATGGAACTTTTATTTATATGGGTTTAAAAATCAAATTAAATTTGAAAAATTAGTTATTTTAGTTAAAACCAAGTGCTCTAACTATAGAGGCATCTCCCTACTTAATACAGCGTACAAAATCTTATCGAACATCCTATTAAGTAGACTAACACCTTTTGTAGAAAAATTTTATAGGGAATACCAAGCCGGATTCAGAAAAAATAGATCGACCATAGATCAGATTTTTACTCTCAGACAGCTGCTTGAAAAAGGATGGGAATTCAATAGAACCATTCATAATCTCTTCATAGATTTCCGACAAGCATACGACAGCATTAAAAGGGATCAGATGTGGAATGCAATGGCAGAACTTTCAGTTCCAAAAAAACTTATCCAGCTCGTTAAAGTTTGTGTAAATGGCTGTAGATCTAGAGTGCGGATAGGTAACAAGCTCTCAGAGTCGTTTGAAATAAACAGTGGACTGAAACAAGGAGACGCGTTGTCACCTCTTCTTTTTAATATAATCCTGGAAAAAGTAGTAAGAACCGCACAAATTAGAACAGAACTACTGACAGTAAATGGACCAAAATTACTACTAGCATACGCGGATGACATTGACATTGTAGGAAATACCGTCACCATGTAAAAGAAACCTTCAATAAATTAGAGAGAGAGGCAAAAAATACCGGTCTAAGGGTCAATGAAGAGAAAACCAAATATATGTGCATTAACAGACAAAAGAGACGAGATAGAATAGGACAAAATGTAACAATAGACCCCTATAACTTTGAAAGAGTGGAGAGTTTTAAATATCTCGGAGCGACTATCACCACAGATAACGATATCACGGAAGAGATAAAAGGGAGAATTCAGGCAGCAAACAGATGTATGTATAGCCTCCACAACACTATTAAATCCAAGAGCCTAACACGAACATCAAAAATCAGGATATATAAAACAGTAATTAGACCGGTGCTCATGTATGGGTGTGAGACGTGGACGCTGACAAAAGCAATGGAAAGTAAACTCAGATGCTTTGAGAGAAAAATCCTCAGAAAGATCTTCGGTCCCTATCACGATCCGAATACTAACCAATACCGAATGAGAACAAATGCCGAGGTCAAACAAATGTATAGTGCTAGCGACGTAGTCCAAGAGATTAAATCCCAACGTCTAAGATGGCTGGCCATGTTCATAGGCTCCCTAATAACCGCCTTACCAAGTTAATCTGGGAAGACAGGGAGAAGGCCCTTAGGACGTCTACGAATGCGATGGAGAGATAATATATGGTCAGATTTGAGAACAATGGGGCTACCCACTGACTTAAACATCATGGACGACCGTTCGAGATGGAAGCAGGTTGGGCAGTCAGCCAAGACCCACCCCGGGTTGTAGTGCTACCAGAAAAAAAAGAAAGAAAAAAAAATTATTTTCATCCGTTGGTGTATAGTGAAAAATGTCGTTCAACGTTTCTTCTTCTTCTCTAGTTCCTATCCGTTTCGGATGTTGGAAATCATATTGGCAATCATAACCTTGCTCGCTGCGGCTCGAAACAGCTCCGTTGAGGTTTTCTTAAACCAATTCTTAAATTCCGCAGCCATGATATTCTCCTTCTACCGGTCCTCGCTTACCTTTGACTTTACCTTGCAATATAGACTGTAGCAGGGAGTAACGGTGCTGATTTCTCAAACGTGTCCCAGATATTGCAATTTTATGCGTTTGATCGTAAACACAATCTCTGGTTCTTTTTCATTTTTCCTAGAACTTCCTTGTTCGTAATCCTCTGTCCATGATATTCTCAGCATTCTTCTATAAAAAAAACATCTCAAATGCTTCAAGTTTTAAACGTTCAACGTTTAGTTCAGTAAAATATAAGGGTATGCTTAATAAGCAGACAAACTGAAACGGGAGATATGTCAAAAAGTATAGACATATTAATCCCAAATGTCACTTGTCATTTTATGACAGAAAGGCACACTAGATACGAAAAATTTTGCGCGTTAATAACCAAATATAGGTTAAAATCTGAACAGTTGGCAAAGAGCAGTTGTGGGATAAACATTGGACCAACACATCTGGTCCCCCACAAGACAGGTGGGATACTCACCATTGCATTATCCAATATGACATTTAAATCGTGATAACTGTCAAACGCGAAATTGTTTTCAAAAAAATTTTAATTTTCTGTGTAATTTTCCTAAATTTTCGGTAAACGGTAAAGTCATTCTCATGGCATGTCATAGAAAAATATGGGTTCATTTTTATATAATAGATTAGGTACTACGAATTATGAAGTCAGTTTATAATATATGTTTTATTAAGGTTCTATTTTATTACATCAAGATATTTATGTGTTTTCAATTATATATATATATATATATATATATATATATATATATATATATATATATATACTACTACATTTCGGTATTTCTCAGGTCACACTCCAAATTGGGATTTCGTAGCAGATTACGTTAATACCGTATCGATAGCGTATCGCACTCCTAAACAATGCCGCCAGAGGTACGAGAATCATCTCATGCAACGAGAAGAAGGTAAACAGCTCAGTCTGGACAACTTTATGAAGAAGAAAAAGAATAAAGCCGGGCCCGTCCAAAAGTATCCGATGCCCACGAAGTCTAGCAGGTCTATGAGGACATCCCAGATGTACACTCAGGACAATAACTCAGCTTTTAGTCAAATAATGGCGGACAGGTTTGAGGCGTTGAAGGCGTTAAAGAAAGTACCACCTCCGAAGCTAGGAGTCAATAATCCTTTATTGAATAAGACCAAACATACCCCGTCGCCTGTTTTGAATGAGTGTGGTATCGATATTGAGCATCCCGTTTTACCGGTTGACGTTGCAGCAAGGTTTGTATATATTTTATGTCTGTGATTTGTTGTTAACGTACATTTCCTGAGCTTATAAACCATAATATGTTCTTTCTTCTTCATTTGGCGCCGTCTCCTCTAAGGAGGTTGGTAATCATCACAGCTATTTTCACTTTTGAGATTGCAGCTCTGAACAAGTCGATAGAACTGCAATTATAACACTGTCTCAGATTGTTGAGCCAAGAGATGCGTCTTCTTCCAATACTTCGTTTTCTCTGTATTTTTCCCCGCATTATGGTTTGTATCAACACATATTTATCCCCTCTCATAACGTGGCCGAGATATTGTAACTTTCTTATCTAATCGTGTTCATGATTTCCATTTCCTTTGTCATCTTTCTGAGCACCTCAACATTTGTTATTCGGTCTACCCAACTTATTTTTAATATTCTTCGTTAGGTTACATCTCGAATGCTTCAAGTCGATCTCACACCTCTTTCTTTAAGGTCCAGGTCTCCACCCCATACAGCAGCACCGAAAACACATATGAACGTATATTCTTTGCACTATGCTTAATTCCGTTCTGAGAAAATCTACATTGTACTGCTCATCTTTCTTTTTTAGTTGCCTCTTACAACAGGCAAAGAATATCCGTGGGGATATTCTACTCCGTCCCCGTACAGGGAACATACTATATCCTTTAGTGTTAAGCATTAAATATTTAGAATTTATCTTGAGACAATGAAGAATTTTGTTGAGGCTGTAGGTATTTTTTCTCTTTGTATATTCTTGTTTATGCCTTCTTTAAAGGCAAAGTCCGCGAGCCTTTGTTATATAGATATAGATTTTTGTCTAGTCCTGTCTGTAAAAGGTTGCACTTCTGTTAGTAGTCCTCAGAGTACATTTTTTTATTCCAATGTTACAGGAGAGCAGAGAGAATTGCCAAAGAAAAGAAAAATATGACGCCCGATCAGCATATTGCCGCTCGCCTTCAAATGATGAAAAACATCATGGCGAACCAACAAGCCAGCGTGGCTGCATCTTCGCCCACTGCGCAAGGATCGAGTGGTGGAACTAGTACTCCTTCCACAACGTCCCAGGTGATAACTCAACAGAATAGTTCAGCCATTGCCACGTCAACGGCTCCGGTTGTCAGTACTGCGGCGACTCCTCCGAGTAAGTAACAAAAATAATTTTTTGGGGTTACTAGTAAATATTTTGTAAAAAAAAACATTTTGTAATTTTGTTGTTTACTTTGTTAATTGAACTAAATACCTATAAATAATATAAATTAATTTTAGTAAGAAAGCGTCCAACACGAAACAGTTAAATATCTTTTGTGTTCGAGAAAATATGTGTTTGTTCCTTATTATACAGAGCTTATTGCAGAGTTTAGAGCAAAGAGATCAATCCTTGTATTTCATATGTTTGTTTTTCTTTCTTATAATATAATATTTTATTTTTCAGATACTTTAAGAACTCAGCGAATAATCGCGTCTCCGATCCAAACACCAACGGTAGTCTCGGTTTCCGGCCTCAGTGCAGCCCAACTACAAGCTGCAACCCAGCGTCTTATAGTATCAGCAGGTTCTTCTGGACAAGGCAAAGTAGTGGCCACTACAACAGCTCTTCAAGGCAAAGCCATTGGCCAAGCACAATTGGCGATGATCCGGCAAGCAAATATCAAGCAGCAACTGCGGCTACACACTGGAAATTTGCCGACACAAGGAGTTAAAACGTCAACTGTTACCATAGGTGGTCAACAGACTGTTGTTCAATTCACACAGGCGCAGCCTAGAGCTCAGTTCATAAGACAAGGTACTGTTACTGTTGGCGGCAAAACAGGAATTACTAGACCTGTAACAGAGAGTGAAGTAGCGCAATTGTTGAAGAAGCAGCATCAACTGCAGCAACAAAAACTCAGTACCTCAACTGGTGGTACGATTCAAAGTCTATCACCACAAGTACTAGCCCAAGCAATTCAGGCTGGTACGTCTGGAGCATCTGTTGCTACTCTCGTTAAGACAGTATCATCCACACCTGGAGGTAAGACAGTTGCATATTCTTTACGCTCATATTTAGTGTGAGATTTTAAAATCTGCTGTGTGAATACTGATTGTTGATTTATTAAATTTTCAGCGACTCAAACAGTCACGATTCCCGTCACCGGTGTCTCCCTTTCAGCCCAAGGTAAAAACCTAGCTCCGACTCTTAAAACAACCAATGCCAACCAACTGCGACAGTTTCATCTGCAACAACAACTACTGGCGCAAAAGAAGCTAAGCGGCCAGAAACTTAGTATTGCCCAAGTGGGCAAAAACAACATGCAGGCTCAGTTGATAGTCGGTTCTAAGCCACTTAGTACAGCGATGACCGTCCAGCAGTTTCAACAGGTGATCAGGTCGCCATTGAACGTTAGTCAGGGACCGGTAGTTTTGGCAAAAGGACCACCTACTAGAGTTATACCGGTAAATACGCAGGGGACAAAGCAAACCATACAGGTTAGTATAAGTTCATTCAAACCCTTCAAAAGGAACCCCTTCGACTTATATTCTTTCTAAAAAAATCTATCTACCCAACTTCTATGGGTATCCATATTATTGGTTTATAAAAATTAGTGCAATGTTTGAGACAATAAAATTTCAAATAATTTTGTGGTTTTCGTCACTGCTTTATGACATCAGTAAGTAGCGAATTTTTTTTTCGTGTACGAACTACATTGCTCTCTCGAATCTTACAGTTAAAATAAATCAAAATAAAAATTAAAATAGAGCACATTAACATTTTATAAATAAATTACATTTAAGTAAATGTAAGTCCATATAAAAATTAATTAAAATAATAAAAATTTTCATACTACATAGTGTAACTAGTGGTTGATAAAAACTAATGCTACGTCGTTGTAATTGCATTCTATTGAATCCACATCAAAGCACCCTTGCTCATAGTTTGCGAGACTGTTTGCGAGCTGTAGTAGTTGTCTTATTGATTGGATCATGCTGAATTCACAGCTGTCATCTTGTAACGTAACTTACCTGGAAGGAATGTTGGGGGTTAATAGAGAAAAGAGAATTCAGGTGCAAGTATGTTCACCTTGCAAACCTCCGCTCAGGTATTCACAGCGGGGAGCTTTGGGACGTGGGACTATAGATCTGGGATGGGGTATGTTTAGATAAAAAATTAGGAATTGATACGTACCAATAGAAATGACAGAATTTGGTCTAAAAGAAAGGGGAAAATGAAAAGCGCCACCTAGTCCTTTTTCGAGTGACGAGGAAAACTCGACGTTTGACCTATGAGAAGATTGGTTTAAGAATAATTTAAAAAAAAAATAACAAATATGCTAAACCTCTCTAAACCCAAATGACATAGTCAAAAAGAAAGAGAAGCAAACACACTTATCTTATATAGTCGCTCTACATTCCTGTCAGAATGGTCTTATTATTTACAAAAAAAAGGAAAGATTATTAAAGAGTAATAAACAAATAATTGCTACAAATTAACAATTTTTATTTCTTAAATGTTCAGCCAAGTAAAAGTTAATATAGAAGGTCAACATGTTAGCAAAATAGACAAATCAATCAAGGCAAATAGCAAAATCAAAAATGTAAATTTCGACAAATCCTGTTTTACAAATATTCCTAGAAATAGATGGAATACTTTCATAACTGGGTAAAGAAATGTGAATTTAAATAACAAAAATATTATGACAATACCTTAGTTATAGCATATCATGATATTATTGGTAATATAACTTACTGTCTAATAAAATATACACAACAAAAAGTATAATAATTATCCTTTAATTATACAGTAGTGACAATATAAACTTTTGGGTTATACACAAAAAACAAAGGTTATTGCGAAATAAAAAAAAATGTCGGATGTACCCTATACAAAAAAACATGACACTGTGTAGCACTAAATATTTATGGAAAAAAGGTTAAAACTGAAACCACGTATATTTTCTTAGTTCACCAAATCAAAAGAAATTCTGTGATTGTATCTCCCAACTATTTTGACAAGTTTTAAATAATTTGAAAAAATGTACAAAGAACTCTGCTTAATTTTCCTCCAGTCGGCACTGGCTTTAAACTTTTAACCCAAGTAATTAAACTTCAAACACTTTATTTAATCTCTGTTTAGCTGTTTTGCTTCTTTCGAAATGAGACATTTGTACTTACATATTTGTAGTACTTAACGTTGATACTAATTTTCTCATTTCTCACACTCAAGGTACTGAATTGCAGTGATTTAAGAAGTCGTCCCTCTAGGTCCGGACTCAAACAATCTACTTTCATGGTCGCTAAAATGGAATGTGTCGCTTTAATTTACCGTTTCTCACCTTTAGTATTTAAAATCAAATAGGGATCTTACATTTTTATATATTTATATATAGTTTATAAGTACAAAATGACGTTGTAATCATTTGCATATTTTGTTTATTACTTATTGTTATCACCAAATTTATCAAAAGAAGTTGATAGATACCTGTATCAAAGTGTGTCACGAAACAGGCTTTTTTTTTTGGTAATTTCTCTGGTCTGTCAGGCAACTGGTAATCAGTCGGCATGTCTCGTTCATTACACTGGCTAGTTTATAAGTGTGTCTTGATCGCTCCCAAAAGGGCAGGTATGTTCTGCTGTTAATAGGCAGAGTGCTAGCTAGCTCTGTTTTTACACACTTGGGCCAGCTCAGTGTGCTGCTTGTAGTTCAATGTTCTATCTAGCGTCACTCCAAGGTACTTGGGGAAACTCCATTCCATTGAACGGTAAGGTTTTTTGTGCCTTCTCTGTCATTGAGATGGAAGAATGTAATTTGTGTTCGTCAAACTTATCCTTAAGATGTTCCCCTATGTTCAAAAGACTATTAGACTATATCAGCATAAATAAATGTTTTTGACGCATTACAAATCGGTTAGTCATTAGTGTATACCTTTGGAAAGCATATTGTACAATATTATTCTTTATTTCTACAGGTAGTAGCTGCCGGATCGTCCCAAGCGTTAAACACCGCCCTTCGTCCCCAAGCAGGCACATCGACACTAGCTGGCGCTTTAACAGGCATCAAAGTACAAGGAGCCTCGGGAGCCACTCAACAAGCGTTATTATCTCAGGTATCAGCAGCTTTGAACCAGAACGTAGCTGGAATGAGACAAGGTAGCCCTGTGCGTATCCAAACTTCCAGCGGGGCGCCGTTGGTGGCTGTTAACGTGCAGAATGTACAACAGCAAGCTGCTTCTTCGTCATCGAATGCGGCGCCCCAAGTTACCAATCCAGAGCAAGTAAGTAGATATTTGAAGAAGTGAAGTGTGTAATTAATGTTTTTGGGATACCTTAACTTGAAAACCTTTTAACCCACAAACAATTATATTGATCTGATCTCTTGTTGTGTTCATTAACCACCTTTGAAACTTGTACTTAGACTAAAGCTATAATAGAACTAAACAGCGGATAGATACTATAACAGCGGAAGTAATCGTGCTTATACTTTCTTGAGTTTTTGTTGTGGGTACAATCTAATAAATTTAGTAAAGGCATCAATAATTTCAAAAATGTATCTGTAGCTTATGGCGGCCCATGATGATAATATGACAAGTAATGAAAGGTTAATCGCCCTTTGGAAGGTTATGTAAGAATCCTTCCTCTTTGCCACTTAGAGAGAAAAACTTCATACATTTTAAGCAATACGGTTCTTGACAGTTGTCCTCGTGTTATTAAACGAATTCAATACACTGTCTTAATTGGATTAACAGTTTTGTCAACACCTAGATGACCCAAATCGACATGACATGTATGTATCACATTGGTTATCATGCCACCAGGGACATAAAATAATAACTTACATTGTTCAAATCATAAATGTGTTGCCTGTGTGAGTCCATTTCAAATAGGTAAAAAGAAATAAAATAAGACTTACAATCAATTTACTTATATCTTCAGGTCTAACGGTACCTGGTTAATTAAATGCTGAAAGTACAAAAACCCACATTAGGGTGCTGTCTTATAAAGAAAACAATTGCAGCAATTATGCCAATATTATATGTCTGTGATTATTAATATGAATAAAATTGATTAAAGCAGACAAAGTAAAGCAAACAAAATGACATAAGATAATCTAATGAATTTAAATAAATTAGTAAATAACCAAAAAATACTACCTACATGCAGGTACAACAATTATTAATTAGTGATTTGGAAAACATAGTTTAAACTATCCTGGATTGCTGTTGATGGGTAATCATCGGTTTATTCTGGTCAATATGTCTAGTATTTTAATGTAAAAATAGTTTGAAAATTTTATTTTATGTTCAAAAAAATATATAAATACCCTGACGACACTGCAAAAATTAAAACAGCAGGATCATATATTTTAAGTACATATAAACAAAACTGAGGTAACTTTAATATTTTCTATGTTTGCCAACGCGCAGCCTATCCTACACCCTTTATGTTGTACTATATATAAATTAGTAGCAGTAATATTCATTTTAAAATTTAATTCATGGCCATTCGAAGTATTTAAAAGAACTTTAAGACTCTTCATGTAGAACAAAACACGATTCAGTTAATATATCGATAAACGCTATGGTTAAGAGATTTTAGAGTTACGGTATCAGTTTGTACTATCTCTTTATTTTTTTTTTTACTTTAGTTTTAATATTTTTTGTTTCTTCCGTCGATATATTTAATTTGTATTTGAATTAATTTTTTGTATATTTGAAAAAACCGTTTATTTGTTAAGTATGTAAAGTTTTGCTGACTTTGTTCCTTATGTATATCGACGTACAATTAATTTACATTCTTTGATAAAATTAACACACCAGCCATTAAAACTTACGTGCAAAAGATCCCGACCTTTGAAACGCCGTACGATATTAACAATAAGTCATACTCTGCGTGATATTCTAACTGAATCATTAAAAAAATTAGTTTTACTGGAAAACCGTTACTGGAAAACTTTCTTTTAACGGAAAACCGTTACTTTCATGTACACTCCCTCATACATATCCTTCACGAGTCTTACGTACTTCTCAGAAAATTTTCTCTCTCTCTCTCTCTCTCTATCTATTGCTCCTCAAGATCTATAAATACCAAATATAGCTCTTCTCTATTAACTCTCTCACAGCAAACAATACATCCGTTGTCCTCCTGGCCTATATTCAAACTGTTCATTTCTTATCGATGTCTCTCTCCTTACCTTCACCCTACAGTTCTCTCACAAATTTGTTGACTCTAATAAATATTGGTTAATACAACAACATGCAATATATCTCACAATTCTCCAGTTTCATATTAAACACTGAAACTATCTTAAAACCTTTTGTCCTTTTGAGTATTCTAATTTTAAAATATAAAATAATTTTGTTGGTGTGTCAATTTTAACGAGACTGATTAAACTTTTACTATTAATTGAAACTAACTTGTATTAAACGTGAGCTGTGATAATAAAACAATATTTTTAGAAATATTTTCACAGAAAATGTAGTGCTTAATAATGTAGGTTTGTTTAAAAATGTTAAAACTTTTCATTAATTTTACGCTTATCCATTAATTATCCAAAATCATTCATTGTAAATATTTATTCCCGACATATTTGTACCAATTTTTAGTTTCTGAATAATAAATTATTATTTTGATAAAGTTTTTGTTTTATTTCATGAGCATGTTTGTGTTTTTTTATTTGAGTAGCTACTTCATATTCCAGAAGAATATAGTTCGGCTGTTAGATTGAGACAAGTGTAATATATTTGCCTAGTGCAATTAAAACTTTAGTAAAATTAGTTTCTTAGACATTATTTCTTTTTGATTGTAGTTTACAGTTTCTTTATATAAAGGCGATTTAAAAAAAATAGACTGCTCTCTGTTAGCGGAATGAAAGTGTTACGATTACTTCAGTTATTATTATGTTTGCCATTATATTTGTTGGGATCGGCTAAAATTGGTTATGATTTTTCCTAAATATTTTCTCCACACGCTGACGACGTTGATATGATAACAAGAATCAGGGCAAGAACCACGTAAAGCTACGATTTGTTAGAACAGTGCGCAGCGCACAGCAGAATCTATTGTACTCGACTCACGGCAGTTTTGGGTGTTGATTATTTCGCATAAATATTCTGTCGCTCTGAAAACAAGTTTAGAAATTGGTTTCAAATTTATTCTTTCAAAGATTGTACATTTAAAAAAAATGAATTCTCGCAAACTTAATGCAATAATTTTATTAGTCCAACAAGAGGAGGAAGAAGAAGAGTTGATAACGTTAAATGTAAATAAAAGAAATAAAAATGTAAACGAAATTTTTTCATGTCTTAATACAGAAGGTGTTTTTACATTAACAGTCGAAGAAAGATTGTTTCAAAACGAGGAAAAATTTCTAGAATATTATAGACTTTCCAGAGATTTATTTGGAACTGAAATTTGTACTAGATCCACTAGTCTTTTATCTTTATCGGGAGAAAATTTAGTAGACATCACTTAATTATTACAATATTAATAACTATATAAAAATACAATTATAATTTCCGTATATTATGTGTACGTTGTGAGCTCAGCTGAACGTTTGCATCCAAATCAAATCGCAGTTGATTCCAGCGCACACCGTCAACGTACACGGCTATCGGTCTGCAGTGCGTGTAGCTTAGCAGAACCTACCAAACTGTTATCATAGAGAATCATTTCTTTGATTTTGACGAACGTGCGTGACGTTCGACTGACTGAGTTATGCGGCGTTCGACTGACTGTGAGTTATGCGTCTCTCACTGTTCTAACACACCATAGGTTAAGTTTTAACAGCAGAAGGAATAGGACTACGTATAAACCTAAGTAAATTTAAGTTTACTTAGAGTAACACAAAAGATCTGAGAATATTAATGAAAATCTTACTACTAATGACCAAAACTTCAACGCTGTGAAAGAGTTCCTGTGTCTGAAACTCTGGAAAAATATATTCCCTTTCTACGAGAGACGCGAAACACTTAGCCATGAATAAAAAGCAGCAACGGTACACCGAACAAGACCAAGATCACTCAATTGGCTGAAAACATGATGGTACCTGTTTTTTTAGGATGTGTGAGGTATTATTGGCATTTGTTATTTGAAAACAGGTACAGCAATAACTGGTGTGGCCGCTCTATTGGACTATTTCGACGCCAATTTGGAAAAATACGAACTGATTTGTATCACAAAAATTTTCTTCCATCAAGACGATACATCTGGCCACAAAGAGGTCCTTTTACAAGCAACATTATACCTATTGGAATACGGATTGATCGACCACCCACTGTATTTGCTAGATTTAGCTCCATGTAATTATATCCTATTCCATTCCTCAAGAATTGCAACGAATGATGAAATCATATCTTTTCGTATCATACATTTTGGGTGAAATAGGGTTAAAAACCGAAAAAGAGACTTTGCGGATAGAAAAAAAAATTACAAAAATTATACGTTTTATTATTTACGCTCCGTGGCATTAGTCGTGGAGCGTAAATAATATGATGTAGAAAATATAGCAAGGATAAAGTGGCAATGGGTCGAGTATGTTAATAGAGATAACCTTGAAAATTTGACACAGAGAATTCCAAGAAAGAACAGGAGAGGAGTGGCCAGACCGCAGAAGAGGTGGACCGATGAAATCCGACCGGTGGGCAAGCCATGGATGAGAGTTGCTAAGAGTAGACATCAATGGAAACAAATGGAAGAGGTCTATGTTCAGCATTGGACCAACATGGCCGAAGAAGATTATTTACGCGAAATTAATATCCAATCATCCTGATATATCCATTAATCCTTGTGTTAACCGTACGATATAACGCAAAAGATGAGGTAAAGTTTCTTCATAACGAAAGCCGAAATAAATTCGGGGAATTTATACCAGTGACTAGTAAAACTGTTAAAAAGAAATAAAACAAATACTATGAATTCACACAAAAGGATTGCAAGGCTTTACATTTTAATAAGGCAAAATTTGTACAATAATACCACCACAAATTGACAGTAAAAATGTCAACAAGAGCGAAACGACGAATTCGTTGCATAAAAACATAACTAATTTGTGTTTTTTTATTATTATTTTTAAAGGTGCAACAATAGTACTTAACTGCTGAAACTAGATCCTTAAACTGTGTATTCTATGCATCGAGCAAAAAGACAATAGAGGGAATGTAAAGGTAGTGGGGGTAAACATATTGTTAGACAGGAAGTGCGATCTTTAGAGGCCACATTAAACAAGGAAAGAGAGTCTCTCTCCTTGTTTGACATCAAATTTAGTTGGGTTATGTTATGTTATTGTTTGTCCCAAATGTCACATGAAATCTTATTTATATTGAAGTTTTTTAACAATTGTGTCGCATTTTAGACTCTTATCATTAATAATTAATTAAAACTTTCTCGTCTAAGACACATTCCGGATATGTCCGCCATCAGAGGCCACTTTTTTGGTCTCCTTTTCATAAGGATTAGATTCCCTCTTTTGTCTTATTGCTCGATGATTCTATGTTACGAGGTTGTAATGACGCTGGAGTAAGAGTCATTTTTGATTTAAATGGCATAGGCAAGTGTCATACAGCCAGTCACAACATGGTAATATTTTCTAAACAATATATTCTTCCACTTTGGATACTAAAAAACTATTCCAGAGAAAAATATGATCATAACAAAGTTGTAGGCGACCGTCTTAATCGGCCAGTAAAACGTTATAACCTTTTAGTATGTCCATTAGAGAACATTCAAATAAATTAAATGTATTATAATTCATAATCTGTCAAAATCTTTATTAGTGAAATAATCTTCTGGAGTATGGGTTTCTTATATTAACTAAGTCCATAACACGATTACATAGTAAAATTTCTTTTCAGGAATGATCTGTCTTCTGTGAAGATGCAATGTATGTTATTTTATTTTAAAAAAATTATGTAAATAAAGATGTTGTCTTGTTTATTGATTATTATTTAATCCACCTGTGCCTTAAATAAAGAAGAAGAAAATTGCTGAAGAAGAATAAAAATTTTTAACAGTTCGAAATAAGTAATAAACAAAAAGTAATTTATTTCCCACCTTTATTTCACTTTTAATTACTTTTCCCCCGCTTCTCGTAGCAGAGGGCTGGCCAAGTCTCGTATTGTTGCTACAAATTGCATCCTCTGTTGGGCAAATGACTCTCACGCGGTTGACAGAATCAAGTGAGTTACATATTGCTTCAGCCATGTTCTGAAATAAACCGCACGATGTCCTTTTGTTTAGCCGATAATAGATCGGCCATGTGTGCTTTCGTAAATTAGAACACCATGTAAGAAATAAATCTGTTAATTAAAGCGCAGCTTGTAATAACAAATTCCTTTTAATCTTCCTCGAAGATATTTATATACGAAGAAATCACCTCAAGTGACTTTATCTAGATCACATATTAAGATTCCAAATGCACTATAGACTTATACACCAAGGATTTAAAAAATCCATAACATACATTAAAGTGTACCTTAGATCCGACATAGAATCAGACAATTGCCAAATGAAACTTAACTAAAAAATAATTCATAGTACAAAAACTATAATATATTAGGACCAAATACGTGCTAGGTTAGGTCCCTTCCAGGGCTGTGAGATGACCTCGACGTGGTGGAAGGGCCGAGTAATTGGTCTTGGTCTCTTAAATTATAAGGGGAGCACGACCGATGAAACCAACAACAGTCCAACCAGCGTCCGGCGGCGGTGCGCCGGACACTGAAAAAAAACGAGTTCTGGTACTCGGAAAGTGACCGAGGAGGGTAATCCTAGCTTTCTTATCGCGTACGTATGGAGCTAGGGTTTTTAATTTTATTTAAATTATTTTAATTGAATTCAATTCGTTTCAGTTCGATTCAATCTGATTGGATTCCATTCAAATGCATTATAATCGAATCGATTCTATTTGATTAGATTCGATTCGACTCGAATGGATTTGATTCGATTTCATTCATTTCGATCCCTCCCGATTCGATTCATTTTGGTTTATTTGATTGTAGTATTATTTATTCTTATTTCGGTTGAGTTTACCGAAAGTACAAACTGAATATAGCCGCAAATGTCAAAAATATTTC